TGGGTGGCTCAGTTGGTTGAGCGTTGGACTTCGGCTCAGGTCATGATCTCATGGTTCGTGAGTTCGAGCCCCACGTCGGGCTCTGTGCTGACAAGTTACAGCCTGGAGCCTGCTTCGGATTCTGTGTCTCCCTCTCTCTCTGCCCCTCCCCCGCTCACACTCTGTGTCTCTCTCTCTCTCCAAAATAAATAAACATGAAAAAAAAAAAAAAACCCAAACCATAAATTGGATCATGTGAATCCCTGGCTTGGGTACTTTCGCACTCATGTGACCTCAAGTAGGGTCTCAATCCTCACAATCACTATTGTGCAGTGCACAAACTATACAACCATGCCCGGCAGCACTACCATTATGGACAACCAGCAGTTAAAAGGAGACCGAGAAGAAGGGGCCCACGTGACGTCAGAAAAAAGCCACTGAGAAGTGGTGTCCCAGCAGCCTGCGTGTATCACCTTTCAAGAGGAAAGGTGAGGTCGGATGCTGCTGAGTTGAGGGATAGGAAGCTGGAGAGGCAGCCCATGGATTTAGCTAATTAACAAGGCTGTGCTGGGGGCCCTGGACAGGAGCTGGGGCTCACCCGACTGTCCATCTGTCTGTCTTCCTCAGGTTGGGACTCTCTCACCTCAGCATCTGGAGAATGAGAAGATTCTATTTCATGCCAAGATTCCCGAAACCCTGGAGTCCCACACGCCCCTCCCACCCTCAGAGAGGGAGACTGCGGCCCGACAGGGGGCGGGGATGTACCTGGAATCACACAGATTGGCGGTTTTCATGCGAAGCCCAGAACCTGTCCCGACCCCTCCTCCTGGCCCTTTCTCCCTCCTTCCCAGTTACCCTGCTTCTCCTCCTGGACGGGAGGCACGGAGTCGGAGCTGAGGGGAGGACAACAGGGGCATTAGGCAGCAGTGAAGCGGCTACAGGCAGAGGTGGGAGGTTGGGGGAGGATCTTTGGGGAGAAACTACCAGGGCTCTGGTCTCAGCCTCAGGATGTAGAGCACCTGCACAAAGTTAGAAATTCGCTTCTAACCCACCCCAGAACCTGGCCCCCGGGGCTGCATTAGGATCTCAGAGATCTGAGCCCTGACAAGGTTATATAGCCGCCGCCATCAATCTGGGATTCAGGGCCAACACGAAACCAAACACAAAACACGCAAAACACACTAAACTCTAACACACAAAACGTGCATGGATGATTCAAATACATTTTCTTTTTCTAAAACTGAAAGAACATCTTTAAAAGTCTAGGTCTGGGGCGCCTGGGTGGCTCAGTCAGTTAGGCAGCTGCCTCTTGGTTTTGGCTCAGTTCATGATCTCATCGTTTGTGGGTTCGAGCCCCGTGTCGGGCTCTGCACTGACAGTGCAAAGCCCGCTTGGGATTCTCTCTCTCCCTCTCTCTCTGCCCCTCCCCTGCTCTCACTCTGTCAAAATAAACGGATAAACATTAAACATATTTTAATTAAATAAAATAAAAGTCTGTGTCTGTTCTTGGGGCGCCTGGGTGGCTCAGTCGGTTAAGCATCTGACTTCGGCTCGGGCCATGATCTCATGGTTTGTGAGTTCGAGCCCCGTGTCGGGCTCTGTGCTGACAGTTCAGAGCCTGGAGCCTGCTTCGGATTCTCTGTCTCCCTCTCTCTCTGCCCCTCCCCCACTCATGCTCTGTCTCTCTCTGTCTCAGAAATAAGTGAACATTAAAGTGTTCCCTCTGCCCCCATGCATTCACTAATTTACTCTATAAACTAGTGGATTTCCGTTATAGTCAGTGCATTGTAATCCAATAGTTGGATGCTCAGATTATTCTAGAGTTTTCTGAAGGGAGTTCCTTCCAGCTGGCTCCTGGGTCATTCTGCCCTGTCTCCATCATTCTTTGTGAATGTTTGCACTTTCTGGCACACTGAGATGCCCCGGCAGCCTCCAGTAGTCCCCCTGTCCCAACCTGGAATAAAGAGTTTCTCCAATGAAACCTAATTCCTTCTTTTTACGAAACATTTTAAAGTCGGTTTGTTTATTTTGAGAGAGAGAGAGGCAGAGAGAGAAAGAATCCCAAGCAGCCTCCACGCTTAGTGCGGACAGGGTTGAACCCACGAACCGCGAGACCATGACCTGAGCCTGTATCAAGAGTCAGACGCTAGGGGCGCCTGGGTGGCTCAGTCGGTTAAGCGGCCGACTTTGTCTCAGGTCATGATCTCCCGGTCCGTGAGTTCGAGCCCCGCGTCGGGCTCTGTGCTGACGGCTCAGAGCCTGGAGGGAGCCTGTTTCAGATTCTGTGTCTCCCCCCACTCTGACCCTCCCCTGTTCATGCTCTGTCTCTCTCTGTCTCAAAAATAAATACACGTTAAAAAAAAATTAAAAAAAAAAAAGAGTCAGACGCTAAACTGAGCCACCCAGGAGCCCCTCCCCCCCCCATTCCTTTCACTACAGGGCGGTATATAAAAGCCAGAACCTAGATGGTTGTTTGCTGTCAGTGTCTAGGTTTTATTGGTGGACATAGCTGGGACATACGTGTGCGTGTGTGTGTGTGTGTGTGTGTGTGTGCACCCGACAACCAACACACCCATACAGCTGTTTTGTGTCCGTCGATGTGTAAGTATATCTCTTAATGAGGTCACACTGACACTTCCAATTCCGGTACGACAGCTCAGAGATTTTTCTAGCCGCCTGCCTTTGCACATTTATAAATCCCTGCAGATCTTGAGCAACTGGGCTCCCTTTATCCCCGACATACTTACATATTTGCTCAAAGCAACTCATCTCCCAACTACTTCAGCATCCTGCTCCCACTCCTCACCGCTGTGACCCCTCCCCCCTGCTCTTGGCCGCAGGGAGACTGCATCCCTCCCAGAGCCCCCCCCTCCTCATCACCGGCGTGGTTCCTCGGGTGTTGGGTGCAGGTACCCCCATGTGGGACCCCTGCCCTCATAACTGCGCTTCCTGGGAATCCCCATCTCCGTCCCAAGGAGGTTGTGATGGGAAGAGATTCCTAGACATTTTTTTTTTTGTTATTGTTCATTTTGGAGGCTTTTCCAAACTGAACACGTCTTTCTGTTTTGGTGCCATTTGTTTGGTGCTCTAAGAAAAGCCACTTCATGTCTCTAGGGTAAGATCTCCCTTCTCAGCTAGACCAGACATCGCCATCCCCTTACCTGACTTGCAGCATTTTTTCTGGTGCCGGAGTCGGAGAAGGAGGAGGAGGACGAGGAGGGCAAGCAGCAAGATTAAGGTCACAGAGGCCCCGATCACAATTTTCTGGTACTTTTCAAGACCTTGGATACAAGTGATGTCATGAATGAACCAATGATGTCAGTTAACTGAGCACCTACTGTGTGTGGACCCGTGCTGGGGTCTATGCATTCATTTGCCGCTAATCCCCATAATAATCATGCACCAGGGGAAGGCCACCCTGCCTTCACCCATTTCACAGACGAGGAGACCAAGGCTCAGAGCGATCAGTCAGGTGCCTCAGATCCCCCAGCCAGGAAGCGGGTGACAGAGCTGGGATTTGAACCCAGGACTGTGGGCTCCCTGTGCCCTCCTCACACTGCCCACCCTAATGGACACCTGCTTCAGGCTCTGGGCTCCTACCTTGACTGGGATGGCCTGTTCCATCGTCCCCATGTGTCCTGCCCTCTCTTGCAGCCAGAGGTGAACACACCTCCTATTGTCAGAGGCTTTGGGGTGCTCAGAACCGGGCCTGCATGGGACGGACTCCGTGCCTTCCCAGGTCCAGCCAAGACCTGTCCTCCCCGCTGCAGACCTCACACTCACAAGTGGGGCCGGTCTGGGCTTTTCAGCATGCCAGTTCCTGCACACCCCGTGGGTCTGTTCCACGCAGAGGAATATTATTTCCAAGATCCCACCTAAACCTCTCAGCAAACCCGTGAGGGAGACGGTAGGAGATGCGTTTAGTAAGGAGTGAAGTGGGGACTCAGACAGGGAAAGGACTTGTCCGCGGACCCACAGTCTGGAAGTGGCTCATCTGGGATTTACATCCCCTAGAGCCCGACCGCCAAGCCCTTGTTTGTTTCTGTTTGATGCTGATTTCTTTCCATCAGGGCTGCCTGGGTAAGGCCAGGCTGAGCACCACAGGGCTGGCAGAAGAGTACTGGGGACGTCACCAGCATCACTGCTCTGCTCTTCTCTGCACCCTGCAACCCACACTGTGCACCTTCCAATTCTACAGACCTAGGGCAGCGCCCCTACGGGGTCAGAGAGGACATGACCATGAAATCTGAGCCAGGACTCTCCCCTATCACAAATAGAGAAACGGAGGCCCTGATGGAAAGGGACCTGCCCCAAATCACCGTCTCAGGGAGCACTGAGACCTCTCCCCTCAATGGGCCCTACCATGTACATCATAAACCCAGGGCAGGGAGGTGAGGTGGTGAGGCTATCCGAGCTCCTCACTTCAGCCTGGCTCCTGCTCCCCCAGCTGGGCCCCCACCCTCTCCCTCTGCCACGGCCACCCCAGCCCTCCTCTGTCGGCTTGGAGCCTGGTGGTCCCCCTGGCATCTTTACTGGACTCCCAGCCCCCTTGGATGCAAGATGGTTTCTGAGCATCTCAGGGGGAGGTAGATCCTCTGAGAGGCTCTCAGACTCCCTGAGATTGTCTGTACTCCTTCTGAGCGAAGAGGCCCCAGTGACTCACTCTCTGTGGAGCCAGGTCCTGTGGGTGGGGGGCTGGGGCCCCCAGAAGTTCCTGGGAAAGAGACAAGAGGAGGGTAGGGGGCTGGAGCTTCCCAGACAGACCCCCTCTAGGCTCAAACTCTTCTGGTGGATCTGCCCTGGAGCCCCGAAAGACCCTCCTGCATCCACCTGGAGCTTCTAGTGATGGGCTTGTAGGAAGGGGCAGGGGTGGGAGGACCCCGTGGCCCTCCATTCCTCTGAGGGGTGGCTGTCCCTCTGGATGACCCTCCCTTGCAACCCCTCATTCTCAGCCTAGATCGGGGGTGTCCCACACAGAGCCTAGAGGAGACCACAGGAACACATATGGGACAGGTTCTCACCTGAGACCAGGAGCTCCAGGGGTTTACTGGGGTAGGACCACATCTGGGGGGTTTTGCTGAAATAGCCATAGCATCTGAATGTCCACCTGACGTTGGGGGTCACAGGGCCCACAGGAAACAGGGCCTGGAACTGCCCACTGGTGGCTCGCTGGGAGTCGAGGGTCGACGAGGGCCTGGGTTCTCCTTCCTTCCTCAGGACAAACCTGTCAAATTTCTCCCATGAGGCACACTGGAGGGTCACCTTCCCTCCTGAGGTCACGATGGGGCTGGGCAGGGCTGAGAGATGGGGTTTGCCATGGAATCCTAGGAGAGGAGGAGGGGCGTGTTAAATGGGGCTCAGATTCCACTCCCCACAATACCCCCAGGGCTGGACTGTGAGAGGGAGACGCTTTGGGAGCAGACCCCCTCCCTGAGGGCAGAGCCTGGGGCGGGGACCCTGAGGGGGCTCGCACCTGTCACCACCAGCTCCAGGGGGTCACTGCGCTCTGACAAGCCAGCGGGGCTTCGACAGGAACAGTGATACCGTCCTGCAGGTCTATCTGTCATGTGTGTGATGGAGAACTTGGCCGTGTTCCCAGGCTTCTTTGGGAAATGAACATCCCAGAACCCTGAGTGTTCCTCTTTATCCAGAAAGAACACTTGGGCCTCCAGGATTCCCTGACACCAAATGGTCACAGCACTACCCCGGGGGACCACAGAGCCTGGCTCAGCCCAGATGGAGGGTTTGGGGAGGGTCCCTGGAAGGAAACAGAGGCTCGGTCACAAGACCTTCCCCACCCTCAGTTCTTAGCTCAGCCCCAAACCCCCAGACGTCCCCTCTCCATCTGCCCAGAACTGCTGTTCTCCATTCCCAGCTGACTGGTGGGTGACCCCCGTCCCCAGTGAGGAGGTGGGATGGGACACCTGGGGACACACTCACCTGCCTGCGCTCGGGTCCTGGGGCCCATACTCAGACCTGGAAGAGAGTCCCCATGAGAGGATGGCCCCAAATCCTGAGCAGAACCGCTCCTCCCTGTGAGCTTCCTGTGCCTGGGGTCTCTGAAACCCCAGGGCCTGGTTGTAAGACGGGTCCCTCCCAGATTAGGGTGTCCCCTCCCCTCCTGAGATCTCACCGAGGAGAAGCAGGGCTGTGAGGTTGGGGGTCATGGCGTCTCTGCCTCTGGCCCTGGCTGTGCAGAGGGAGGGACCTTGGTGCTTAGAGGACAGACAGAAGCACAGGGTGTGGCCACTTGGGGGCTGGTCTGCCTGGTGATGGGGTTGTCACGTCAGCAGCCCCACAGGAAGGGGAACAGCCTGTTTCCAGGGGCCCAACTCTGGTGTCCATGATGGTGCAGCAAGTGGACCCAAGGCTTCCTGAGATGTCCCATCCAGGTGAGGAGACCAGGGCACGTCCTTCCCTCCCAGATCCTCCCCTACAAGTTCTCCTTCATTCTCAGCACATCCCTGAGGGTCCTCACCTCCCATGGGGTCCCCAGGCCCCGGAGATGCTGCAGGGGGTGTGGGTTCCGGCTCCTCTGCGGCCTCATGTCAGTGCAGACACACCTGTGACATTTCTGCATGGCTCAGGTCAAGGTCACGTGGTGATGCACACAGAGGAGAAATATAGCGAAATAGAGAAGGAAACGTAAACCCTCTCCTGGTCCCAGAGTGTGGGCTTTCTTTCTGTCACAGCCTTCATGGACTTCTCTATTTTCCTGTGTCAACATCCACCTCCACTTCCTGGGAACACGCCCATGAGTCCCTCCTGTCTCTCAGTGCCCCTTGTGTCTGGAGCAGAGTACTCTTTCCCATTCTGGGGCCCTGCATGAAGATGTTTATTTATTTGGGTTAGAGCTCTGATGTCGGAGGACGTGGTAACCTTTATCTAAATATTCATCTATTACCCGGGGTGTCTGGGTGGCTCAGTCAGTTAAGCGTCCGACTTTAGCTCAGGTCATGAGCTCACGGTTTGTGACTTTGAGCCCTGCGTTGGGCTCTGTGCTGACAGCTCAGAGCCTGGAGCCTGCTTCGGATTCCGTGCCTCCCCCTCTCTCCGACGCTCCCCCATTAGCACTCTGTGTCTCTCTCTCTCAAAAATAAATGAACATTAAAAATATTTTCAAAAAATTAAAGGAGATATTTAATTTTTGATGCAAGAGTATGGTTCATGTTACAGAAATATAGGCAATTCGTGAAACGATTAAGAAGTTTCAGCGATGAAAATCCAATAAAATCAATACATTCAAAAAATCCATTCCATTAGGGACGAGGCAGAGCTGAAGAGCCATTTATAAAACTGGAATACAATATTGAAGAAATGTTCCAGAATGCAGCATACAGAGACCACAAAGGGAAATTCAAGATACTTAGGGAATAGAACGAGTAGGGCCAATGTCCTATGTGTTGTGTCGGAAGGAAAGGTGTCAGAGGGCAACCTAGCAACAGCTGAAGAGAGACGATTGAACATCTACAGAGACCAGGAGACAACACCGCACTGAGTGTTAGGATGCATATATTTTTAATTTTTTTTAACGTTTATTTATTTTTGAGACAGAGAGAGACAGAGCATGAACACGGGAGGGGCAGAGAGAGAGGGAGACACAGAATCGGAAGCAGGCTCCAGCCTCTGAGCTGTCAGCACAGAGCCCGACGCGGGGCTCAAACTCACGGACCATGAGATCATGACCTGAGCCGAAGTTGGACGCTTAACCGACCGAGCCACCCAGGAGCCCCCCTTTTTTTTTAATTAAAAAAAATTTTTTTTTATGTTTATTTATTTTTGATACAGAGAGAGAGCATGAATAGGGGAGGGTCAGAGAGAGAGAGAGGGAGACACAGAATCTGAAGCAGGCTCCAGGCTCTGAGCTGTCAGCACAGAGCCCGACGCGGGGCTTGAACTCACAGATCGTGAGATCATGACCTGAGCCAAAGTCGGAGGCTCAGCCAACTGAGCCACCCAGGCGCCCCTAATTTTTTTTTTTAACGTTTATTTATTTTTGAGACAGAGAGAGACAGAGCATGAACAGGAGGATGCATATATTTTTAAATGACGTGCACCGGACCCTTCGTTGTAAATGGAGAAAATGGAGATGCGTGTGAGGGGGTAAGAACTTTGCCAACGTCGTCCCTCTCCAGGTGGCACGGTCAGGGTCTGAACCAGCCGACGTGGAAAGGGAGAGTGGTGAGCGGGGGCCCACTCAATGCCAGCCAGCCGCAGCCCAAGGGCGCTCTCCACTCCCCACGTGCGAAAACCCACACCTCCCTGCACACCGCGGCCGGATATTTTGTGCAGGCTCAGAAAACAAACCGGGGTCTGTGGGCAAGAGAGAAGCCACAAATATGTAGCAAAGCAAAGGAGCGGTTCCAGCAGCCAGCCTGGTGGGTTGCAAGAACCAGAAAGGAAATACAAGCTCACGAGGTTCGTAAGAAGGAAGGACCGATGAAAACTATCTCCTGCCTGAAGACAACTAAAGATATACGGAGGTGAGCACCACCTCAGATGCTAAAACGGCCACGCAAAACTCCGAGGACCGTGGGAGTCAAGGACACGCATCACCACCAAAAGATAAGGACAGCCTCCCAGTAACCGAGCTCACACTCGGACTTTTGCAACACAGCTGACGACGGTTTCAAAACAGCCGCACTGAGGAAACTCATCGGGCTACGGCTACGGGAACACGCAGAAAGACGAAGAAATAAAGAGAGCGATAGGTGAACAAAAAGAGAAGTTTAACAAAGAGATAGCGGTCGTAGAAAAGAACCAAACACAAATTCTAGACTCAAGGAATTCAGTTAATGAAATTAAAAAAAAAAAAAAAAAAAAAAGCGGGGCGCCTGGGTGGCTCAGTCGGTTGAGCGTCCGACTTCGGCTCAGGTCATATCTCGCGATTTGTGGGTTCGAGCCCCGCGTCGGGCTCTGGGCTGACGGCTCAGAGCCTGGAGCCTGCTTCGGATTCTGTGTCTCGCTCTCTCTCTGCCCCTCCCCCGCTCATGCTCTGTCTCTCTCTCTCTCTGTCAAAAATAAATAAACATTAAAAAAAATTTTTTTTAATGCACTGGAGACCCTCTGTGGCAGAATGGAATAATTAAGGCTACAGAAAAAGAAGAGAGAGGGAGAGAAGTGGGCAGAAAACTTATGTAAAGAAATAACCGAGAACGAAAGGTTTTCGATGATAGATTCTGTAAGGGTTAAATTGTAGTGTAGGGCTAACCTGTAGCCTTAAGAAATAACAGCTTAGTTTTAACACTATAGGTTAAGAGATAACAGCCTTAGCCTGTCAATCAAGGGATGTGATTAGTGTTTGATCGGATTGGGGCAAGGGCCTGTTTGAGCTGTTTCCACCTGGGAACTATTCCTCTGTTCTGTTCCCAGGTGATAATAAGACGATGTGGTCGGCTATAAAAACTCTGTACCCCGGCTGTTCGAGAGACCGCACTCTGGTCAAGAGCGTCGGTCCCGATCGGTGTGTTTGCCTTGCCTCTCATTGCGATAAATTGAATTTTCTCTCTTTTTTTTCCCCCTTTAGGTGGTCTAACTGAAAGTTTGTCAATTTGGTTTCTCTTTTCAAGTAACAAACTCAGTTTCCTTGATCTTTTCTCTTTTTTTTTTTTTCTTTCCCTATTACATTTATTTCTACTCCCATCTCTATTTCCTTCCTTCTGCTAACTTTGGGATTTATTTATTTATTTATTTATTTATTTATTTATTTTTTGTCCTTCTAGGTTTGAGGTTGGGTTGTTTATTTGACATCTTTCCAATTTCTTAATATATGCATCCATGACTATAAACTTCCGTCTCAGAAGTGCTCTTGCAACAGCCCATAGGTCTTGCCCTGTTGTGTTTCCATTTTTGGTTAGGGATGTTTTTTGCTCCTGTTACAAATGTTTTCTTGGGTCACGTGTTGTTCACCAGTGTTCTGTTGAGCACCGGCAGCCTCTGGAAGGGACACAGCCCTGCTGACACCTTCACGTGGCCCGGTGGGACCGTGTCAGCCTTCTCCGCACAGAACCGCCCGGGCATAAACGAACACTGTTGTCAACACTGAGTTCGTGGCGGTTTATTTCACAGGAAGCTGGAAGAGTGGAAAGTGGGGTACAGAGCTATAGCTGGAACAGGCTGACTTCCATCCAAGAAAGGAGATAAGTAGCAGGATGTGTCTGCGGACTTCCCTTTCCACGGATCATGCGTTCCATCTGAGAACCCGGAAGTAACAAAAATAGCCACCTGCGCTATGTGGGGGCGTGGGACAAAGGGGAGGGGGTGAGGAGGGTCATCTCGAATGTCCCATGTTGGGGAGTTTTCGCTTTTGAAACCTACGGACGTCCTGCACGTTCCAAAACACAGTTAAATCATACAAGACGGGGAGAGCACACTCTGACACGAATATGAACACGTCAAGGTAAAGATAGGCTTACACCCGATTAACAACAAAGCCACAGGGCGAAGCGAAAATGTAATTACGTTAATTTATCAGGAGCAGGGATTTGAAGTATGAGAAATACAAGTGTAACCTAAAAAGTCCATTGAGGCACCTGAATGGCTCCGTCGGTGAAGCATCCGACTCTTGATCTCAGCTCAGGTCTTGATCTCAAGGTTGTGAGTTCAAGCCCTGCACTGGGCTCCATGCTAGACATGAGGCTTACTAGAAGAAGGATGGGAGGGGATGGGAGGGGAGGAGAGAGGAGAGGACAGGACAGGACATCACATCGAGGCTGGGAATACCCCCGTGAAAGCACACTACCCATCCTCCCTGAGTGTTAACTTGCTCCCTAAGGAACAAAAAAGCCCAGTAGCCTGAGTTCACATAACCCGCACATCTTGTTCTGTAAATACGGCTCCCCAGTAAAAGGAGCCCGAGAACTCTTGCAGAAAAGGTGGGTTCCTGGTCCAGGGCAGGAGGGACACGAGATGAGTCTGGGACTCCACTGAATCCGGAGAGCAAGACAGAGCTGATGATGGGCCGGGTCCCCTCGGGAAGCACAGCGCCGGGCTCAGAAGCGCCTTCCACGGCCGAGTCTGGCAAGCTGAGTGCCAAAAAGTGCAACGAAGATGCTCCGTACTCTGGGCAGGAGGCAGGGGCCCTGGCAGGCAGCCTTCCTGTCCTTCGTGCTGGGGACAGTGCTCCAGGAGACGGACACAGTGGGGGGGGGGCGCACAACTGCTGAAGAGAAGTCTGCGAGTGGCCCCTCCATCCCTCTGTGCTGAGAGAAAGGACACCGGAGAACCACCGCGCGGAGCCCTGCCTCCTGCAGAGATGCAGCGACGCCGGGGAAGGTCGTCCTTCAT